GTAGGTCCCCTGGGGGACAAAGGGAGAGTGACAACAGAAGGCAAGGCCTCGTATGTCCAAGGTCCCGGGTTCAATTCTCAGCACGGGAGGAAAAAAGAACAAATCTAAACCCAAGCCCCGAACCAGACAAGAGTTAGCTGCTCTTCTGGTTGGTGCTCTCACACCTGGCTGCATGTCTCCCGCTGTGGGAGATTGAGACTCACACCTGCATGTCTGTGGCCCTGCAAGGCCCTGCATTTGCTGGCAAAGGAGGACACCTGTTTAGTGGTGGCATGAACATGCTGTTTCCCGTCAAGGGCCTCCCTCCAAGTGTGCACACAGAAGTGTCTCCCCATGCTAGGGGCCATGCACATGTGCACGGACACACACGTCCTGGTGTGTGAGGGAAGAGACACACGATAAGGGACAGCCTCCAGGTCGATCATCAGCATGGCTGTGTGCTCACAGTGAACCGTCTATCCCTCCTGGTCTCTCTGAAACCATTAAAGACCAACCCTCCAGGCATCGAGGGCTGAGACAGCAGCAATGGGCTCACAGCTCCCTTGCCTCTGCTATTTGAATGGAATCTGGGAACTGGCAGCAGCCTTAGGGAATACCTGCTTTATGACTTCGAGTGACACCTTGGGAAGCATGGCCTGGTGATGGCAGAAGATTGGGTAAGGGCACACAGCTGGGCAGAGGTCCAACTGGTCCAACCCTAGGCCTCCTAATGACCCTGAGGATCACCTGAAGCTCTTTCCAAAGTGCTATATATAATCTGCAAGTCGAGGAGCCTGGTGGTCACTCCTTTGTTGACTGACTAGTGATGAGAACTCCTTAGTCTCTCAGAACACATTGTTTTCTAATATTGATTTTTTTGTGTGTGTACATGTCTGCACACAAATGTGTGCATGCCTGGACGATCATTCCTCTGCTATTGTGAGCATGTGGAGGCCAGAGGACACCTTTTTGGGAGCCAGTTTCTCCTCTTCTATCATGTGGATTCCGAGGAGCAAACTCAGTTTCTCAGTACCAAGGGGTGGCTTAGCTTGCAGGAACTCTGGGAATTACAGGTCTGGAGGCAGCCACCCTGTTGAAGAACCTCTGCATGGGGAGGAGGGGAAGGTGTAATAACTGGTGGCCAGGGACCTCAGCTCCAAAACAAATCCTCATGGAAACGCTGTAGGGGAACTGGCTACAGAGAGGATCACAGGAAAATCTCACCCTGGCAGGCCAAGGCCAGGGCATTGGATGGATGGCTTTTGGCTGAGCAGGAAAGGATTCTTTCAGGGTAGCTCTGGGGAGGGCAGCAAGCAAAGGCCCGGTGGTTCTGAAGAATGTGACTGGGAGTCTCAGTCCATGTGAGAAAGTCCCCGATGGGAGTCTGGATTCCAGCAACATCTCCTCTGCAGTTCCTGCCCCTGACCTTGGAGAGCAGCTCCCAAAGCCTGTCTGATCTTGTTCAGAAGGGTCAGGGGAGTGGGAACCAAGAGAGGGGAGGTGAGATAGGGGCTGGAATGTAGTTGCTACAGACAGGCCTCCAGCCCAGATGGCTGTCATCTTGCATAGGAGGAGGAGTAACTCCAGGGCAGGCAGGGTTGGAGCCTGATAACCAGAAACTCTAGGGCTGAGCTGACCTGGAGGGATAGGAGGACTGAACACACAGAGGCCACACAAAGTGGCCTCCAGGAATTTGTTGGGAGGGAACATTCTGGAATTTCATTCTTCTATAAAAAAACAGCATTGTTGCCTGAACTCAGGAATCTCCCCTGGAGATCGCGCTTGTGTCTGGAGGGCTGTAAGTATGTTTGCAGGGACTGAACAAGTCTAACGTTTTCGCTAGGAGAGGCAGGGCCCGTAGTCTGGCCTAGACCTGCAGAGACCCCCCCCCCCCCAGAAAAGACTGTCTTGTGAGAGATGAGAGGGAGAGGCAGCAAGGAAGGGAGAAGAGGACTTGGGATCCTAGTAGCTCAATGTGGGGAACCCTGTGCTCCCCGAAGGGAGGGTTGTTCCCTTAGTCATTCTGCCCAGGGACAGGCACAGGAAGCTAGGGCAGAAGAACATTGTAGGACTGGGAACCAACAGCTCCCAGGCTTTGACACCTTCCCCTGGGGGCCGGACCCTGCAGAAGGTGGGGGAATCCACTTGAGCTTAGCTTCTCGTGAACTCTGGCTTATCTCTCTGTTGCCCCCCCCCCCCCCCCCCCCCCCCCCCCCCCCCCCCCCCGCTTTAGCTAAGCCTTACCCAGGTGTTAGGCCAGCTGGCCCTGTGGAGCCCAATGAATTCAGGGGAAGAGAGGAGTAGCGTTAGGGACAGAGTAACTCAACAGGATTTCAGTGTGCTGGGACATATCGGGGACAGCCAGGGGGAGTTGCACCTGGGAGTTTGGATTCCAGCTGCCCAGGGAGATAACGTCAGGATCTCAGGGCTGCTATGGCCATTGGCCAAGAGGAAGCACACACAAACGGGGGGGGGGGACTGTCCCTCCAAACTCCCTGGAAGAATCCAGGACAGATTCTGCTGTGGTTTCCTTCCCCGAAGTAGCTTGGAAACCCTCAGTGCTGTCCCTCAGTGCAGTCACCAGATTCCCTGCCTCACCATTTCAGCAAAGCCACCATCACCTGAACACATCTCTCAAGCCCTTCCTCAGCGATTTCAAATAGAGTTTCCTGCCGCCCACGACAGCGGCCCCTGTCACTTTCTAGGGTTCGCCTTGTTTTCTCCTGAAAGAGGCACATTTAATAGGGTGACACGGTGCGGGACTCAAAAGTTCACTCCATCTACGGAGGCCAAGGCTTTATGCTTCCCGTGAAAACCCAAAGGAATAAAATTCCAAGAAACGCTGTTAGAATAAATGGGTCTGTTAAGACAAGTCCTTCGAAACCCATAGTGACAGTGGGAAAGGATCTTGTTCGGTAAATCATGGCTGTACGACGGGCAGCTTTGTCACACCAGTCACACTGAAATGATGTGAGGGCCACTCATCAGAACGATTCCACTGTGGCCTCTAGCTGAGAAGATCTGCCTTATACAGGGACACTGATGGTGGCAACAGGCCATACAAAAAAGTAGCCTTTGAAACCTAGCCGGGCATAGTTGTGACTCCATATCCTCCCCCCGCCCCCCCCCCGCGCCGCCTATTGGTTTTGACTACAAAGTCATGGCACAAAACAGTACATAGCACACATTTGCTGAATGGGATGATGTTCCTGAAAGACGACAGGCTTATGATGTGATGATTTCAGATCGCAAGCTATCCTCTGGCAATGTGGAGAAATAGGAAGGAGCCTGAAAAGAGGCCCGTCATGTCAGGAGGATGGAAAGGGTCTATGCGGGCCTCTGCAGCCTCCTATGTGTAGACTTCACTGTCGCAGAAGCCCTGGCATCCCAGTCCCACCTCTGGGACTGTCCAGCTGCACCTAGGAGCAGCCAGCTAGCCAGGGGCGGTGTCTGGGAAACACTGGCACTAAGCATACAGAAACCACTTAACTACGGTTTGCTGCTGTTCCTATGGAGCGCAGGGCCCACCTGTCATGGGCCCTGCCTAGCTCCTGGGTTCTTCTTCCCAGCATAGCCCTGCTCCAACCTGTTTTTATGTCACGGGCTTTATCCTAACACCGTATTTGGAAAAAAAAAAAAAAAAAGTTTAGTTCCTAAAACGGGGATGAAATCGTTGCACCAGGTAGTGCCCAGCATCATGCCAAGCAATGAGCCCGGCGTGTGCTCTCCCTCCCTTGGCCTCTGCACGCCTCTTTACCCTTCCCCCACAGCCTCCCGTCCCACCCCCCTGCCGCCCGCTGTCTCCCGTGGCTGCGCACCTGGTGAAGCGAACCTCGCAGATGCTGCACATGTACGGCTTCTCCCCTGTGTGGGTCCTCATGTGCCGGGGCAGCTTCCCGGCCCCCATGATGACCTTGTGGCAGATGGGGCACTGCTGAGAGGCCTTGGGCTTCAGCTTGCGCTCCTCCACCAGCGGCCAGGGTGGGAAGAGGCTCCCCAGGTGGGTGGCACTCAGGAAGTTGAGATAGGCACCGTAGTCATTCTCTGCCTTGATGGGGCCCAGGGGCCCACCAGGCAGGTCAGGAAACACGTCCTTGAAGAGATCGCTAGGGAAGGGAGGGGGCGGGGGCGGGCCTAGCTCCTCCTTCTCCTCCTCCTTGATTTTGCGGTTCTTGATGACTAGATCCAGAGGCCCACTGTCCATGGGCTGCTCGGGCAGCTGAGCAAAGGCACCAAAGTCCCCTGGCCAGAGGTGTGGGAAGAATTCTGGGGCAAACGGAGATAAGGAGGGTCTTCTGTCAGGGATGTTGGCTTTGGGGTACAAGTTCTCCCTCAGCAGAGATTCAATGGAGAAGTCCCGTATCACTCCCAGATGGCCAGGGCTGCCAGGCTGGAAGGCGTCGGGGAAGTCCCTGGGTGTGTCTGCATAGTCCTTCTCTGTGAGATGGTCCGCCTTGGAGGGGCTTTGGGGGCAGTTGATGTCCCGGGGGTCAGGCAAGTTTTCCTGGTCAGCAAAGTCTTCTGTGTCATCCTCCTCCTCCTCCTCTTCCTCCTCTTCCTCCTCCTCTTCATCCTCCTCATCATCGTCATCTTCGTCATCGTCCTCCTCCTCCTTGTCCTCCTCACCACCGTTGCCGCCGGGCTCCATGATCTCCAGGCACACATTCACGATGCACTGGATCTCCAGCATCCTGGCAGCATTGAGGATGTGCTTGACGTTGGAGGCGGTGATGGTGAGTGTGGAGGTGTAGGCAAACTCCAGGATGGCGGCCAGAGCCTCCGGCTGGACAAAGTCAATCTCATAGACATAGGGTTGGCTGGCCAGGCTGCCGGCTGTGAAGAGCTTCTTGAAATACTTGCTGCATGCAGCCAACACCGAGCGGTGCGTTCGGTACTCCTGCTCCTGAACCACTAGCAGCACGTCGCACAGCAGCCCCGCATGCCGCTGCTCGTTGAGACTGCACAGCACCTCACTGCTGTGGTTGGGGAAAGGGATGCCGATAAGTTCATCAATGTCATTGGCCATGTTCTCAGCCAGAGCCCTGCAGGGACACACAGAAAGGGAGATCAGTTAATGGGCGTGACCGGTTGAGGACCCATGTCCAGGACCAAGCCTTACCTGTAAGTCACAACCCAGCTCAGGCTGGGGTTCCTGTACCTTAAGACCCTTGGAGTTAGCATCTTACCAGGCGGTGCACATCACCTGCTTAGGAAAAGCTGCAGAAACCTCTATGGGTGTGATTTGCAGAATTGTGCTTTGTTAATACGGACTTGGAGAATGCTGGGATGATGGACATCATGAACGTAGGGTTGGAAACCTGTGTGGTAGCATTCTGCTCTCACATGGGACTGCTTGGTGCTTCTGCTGAGGGATGCTCACAAGGCCCCCGCTGGTGAAGCATTCTCACGTTTTACAGAAGCTACCAGAAGCCTCAACTCAACTTGGTGGTCCATTTTCGGTGAGTGAACAGGAGCACAGTAGCATATATAGTTTGCCCCCTGAGCTTGCTGCTGGCTTTTACTATGCCTGACAGAGTTTCTTTCATTTGCATTCAGCAATTCTTTCCCTAGCATCCCATATGTATATGTGAGCCGTTTCTCTTATAATCAGGTATTTAAGGTCAATACAGATGCAGCACTTTGTGATTACTTTCTCATGTCTGTTGGTAGACCCCACAGCCCTTTAAAGCCTGCAGGAGACAGCTGGCCGAGGCTTCCTGACAGTATGGATGGCCCCTGACTGACGATGATCTGATATAGGGACTTCTGATTTTATAATAATGCAAAGGGCACTCATACAGTCATTCTGTCTATCTCTTTCAGTACAGCAATTCAACAAGCTATGAGATATTTGGTATTTTTATTATAAACTTGGTTTGCATTCAGTGATTTGGCTTAGCACAGGCGAATGTAGGTGCTCTGAGAATGTCCAAGGCAGGCTTTGGCAGAAGGTCAAGCATATTAAATACACTTTAAATTTAAAATTATGATTATTATTGTGTTTGTGTGCGTCGGCGTGCATGCCACGGAGTTTACGTGGAGGTCAGAGGACAATTACGTTGTTTCCCTTTCTACTTTTATGTGGTTCCAGGGATCAAACTCAAGTCTCCAGGCTAAAATGAAAAATAGCGACCATTGCAAAAGCAGATAAGGCTGGGGAGAAAACGGGTTATCCACACACTGCTAGAGAAGGCAGAATGGTCCACCCCGTCTGCAAAGCACTGAGAGTGTTTTTAAAGAGTTAGCTACCCAAAGACCACTTGATCTCGCAGTGGCACATTTGCCCCAGAGTAAAACCAAGCGAAAACCGAGTGAGTCTGGTGATAGCCCTGAACCGGAACCCACACGGATACTCCTCATTAGGTGGGCGGCTGGGCATACTCTAGAGCGTCAGATCCTCCGCGCCCCACTCAGCAAGTGAAACGGAGCTCTCTGATACTCGGCTACACTCGGCAGCTTGGATGCGTCTCCAGGGAGTCGTAAGGAGTGCACAGAGCCAATCCCCAAACACGGGCTTCCTGTATAGCACCCTTGAAACTGCCACTTCACAGAAGCGGAGAATGGGTGAGGGGTGCCAGCAGCAAGTAGGGGGGTACTGGTGCGAGGGGAGGGAGTGTGGCTATAAAGGAACACTGGCACGGTGGACCCTGTGTGCCGGAACTGTTCTGTGTCCACAGAGGTCAGTATATTGGATGCCTTGAAAAGGGTTTTGAAAGTGTACCAGGATGGGAAGCCACGGGAAGGGCACAGTGGAGTCCTTTATATGGTCTTTTACAAGCATGTGCGAAAGGATCCCCAAAGAAAATTTTAATTTAAAAAAGCATAGGAAACAACCTAGGACCGTCTATGTGGCCAAATAGCAGGTGTGTCCCTCAAGGCCACCCTGCTTTAGGAAGGTGGATTTGTGGGCAGTTTGAATGGTGTCTGCAGGGCAGGGTCTCTGAGACATGGGTTAGAACGGGGCCTCAAGGCTGCGCTGTATGTTAAGTCTAACCACGTGGAGGTACGTTTAGTGTGACCTTCTGTGCACGAGCAAGGGGAACTGAGGACACCTGTCCCAGAGTCCCAGCTCCCTTCTTCAGATATTGAGGATAGCGAGAACGAAGAGAGGACCATCTGGCTCGAGCTTAACCACGGGTTTCTCGGATGAAGACTCAGGCCCCGCATCTTTCCTCAGGCCTTGGCTTTCCTCTGAGTGTTATCGTGACTTCTGTGTCACCGATGAAGAGTACCGAGCATGCAAAGACAATCACACAGATGAGGGAGGTGCCAAAATCTGCACCGGCAGCTTGGTTTCCCCTGGTCTGTGTTAGCCACAGGCGCCTGCCTCAGGCAGCAAAGGTAATCACGCATGCGCAGAATCTCTTGCTGCCACATTCAGAGACCTCAGGGATATTTGAAATGGAGGGAAACCCCCGGGGGTGGCAGGGGTGAGTGGTGCCGCCTTCTAGGGAGGCTGGGCAGGCTGGAACAGCTTCAGGAGCATGGGCCCCTTCAGAATCTGCCTTTCTCACAGTCTAGGGGAGGGGCTTCTTCATGATCCCTGGGAAGACACCTGCTAGCTCTCCAGGCAGCCTCCCAGATCTTTCCCATGGTTCTTTCCAGGTAGTTTTGGCAAAGCTCTGCCAGGGAAAGAGTAAAAGAGATAGGAGATGAGGCTTGAGGCTTCATCAGGCTTTCCAAGCCTCCCCCCCCCCCCTTTTTATAGAGTCCTCTGTAACCCACACTGCTTTGACTTCGAATTCTCCAGCTTCCACCTCTCAAGTACTGGGACCACAGACACGTTCTGCTATTCCCAGTTTTATGGAGTGAGAGGGGTTGACTCCAGGGCTGTGTGCATGCTAAGCATGCACTCTGTCAATTGAACCACCATTGATTCACCTTTGGACACAGCTGTGTTGTAGTATTTCAAGAGGATTCGGGCCGTTGTGGCTGACATTTGACCTCTGAATAAGGTCATGAAAGATAGGGCTGTTTCAGCTTTGTTTTCTTGGCCGCTCTAGGAAGGAAGCCATAATGGGAAGACGCTCAAACAGCACCATGAAGTGGGCCATGCGGCAAGGGACTGAGGCTTCCGGTCACTGCCATACCTGACAGCCGCACAAGCGAGCCAACTTGAGAGCGGCCTTTCCAGTCCTCCCTCAGACCTTCTACCATGGCAGCCCCAGTGTCATTTTGACTATGCACAGCCTCATGGGAGATAGAACCAGAGCCACTCCTGAAGCCATGACCCACAAAAGATGAAAAACAGTAAGCGTCCACACACCATAGCCTCTCCGTTTCAGAGTTGTTTGCTACATAGACAACTGATCGAGGAGCCCTGTTTGCATTACAGACATTCTATGTCTGGGACTTTTATTCTGATGTTTTCTGGTAGAAGATGATTGTATGTGTCAGCGTCAAGAAGTCCACGGAAGAGTGAATTTACAGAGGAACTGATATCTTGTTCTAAATCCCACAAAGCCATCCTAGGAGTAATTGGGCCCTGAGCCTCAGAAGCATGCAGTCTTTCCTCTAAGTGAAAGCCAAGGTCGGTAGGATGCTGGAGAACGAGCAGCTAGAGAGAGCCATAGTTCCCTGTCCACTAAAGACCTGCACTATTAAATTTAGTAGTGCTTGGAAATGCTTCTCAGGTTCTTTGCCATTTCAGGACACAGCCAGTCTTGCAAATGTTTCATGCATACTTGAAAAAACTTATACTGTCTAGGTTTAGGCACTAATTATTATTTAAAATTTTCCCCCTTTTTTGTTTTGTTTTGTGGCTCTGTTAAGAACTGAACCAGGGCCTGGGACATGCTGGGAAAGGGCTCTATCACTGAGTTACATTTCTGGCCCTACAAAATGTTCTGCATTCATATTAATATTGTATATAATAGGTAAATATGTGATAAAATGCATAGGAATATCCCGCACAATAATTGGAGATTTATCACTTTCTCATACAGTGTTATTAAATTCTGCCTTATCTGTTCAAAGACTATTTTTTGGTAATATAAATTCATCAGTTCTCAGGGAGAATAGCCTCCTCCGCCCTCTTAGAGGAGCCAGAGCCTGTGACCAGGTAATACTGCTGTGTCTCACAGTGTGGTGAGCTGGTCCAAGCCCCCAACCTACCACGTTTTCTCATGATGCCTCCTTTGGGATCTGGAATCACGAAGAGGAAGCTATGGTTATGTGGCTGTAGGAGGCCTCTCCACCTCTCCTTGTGTTGGATGGCTACGAAGAGATCTGCTAATAGACATGACTGTGAAAAGCTTGGGAAGGGGTCACCAGGCTGGTGACCTCAGCGCTAAGGCTGCTATTCTGTCAGCCGCTTCTTTCTGTGTTTTGGTTCCTGACCTCTACTCCATTCCAGGAAGGGATGGAATCGTGGTAGCTCGGGGATGTTATTCTAGACAGAAGACTAACCTCAGGGTGAGGACAGGGAGGGGAACACCGTCTTCAGGAAGCAGATAGAGCCCCTTTCCTCTCCCCCCCATCTTATGTCTGTTTGCTGTCTCTTTGGGAAGAAGCATCTGGGAGCTTCACCTGGAGACCCTGAAATCCCCAGGCCTTGGGACAGCAGTGTCCCAGAGTGGATGCCTCCTTCCCCCTCTTTCCTGCCTTAGCTTTGCATCCCTTCCCTCTGTTCCCTTGACCTGAGCCAGGGTGAAGACCAAAGCCAAGAATAACACCCAGGGAAAGCAAACACACGTGCATGCAAACTCCTAGCCGCAAGCAGAGGCTTGATAAGGACTGTAAGCTCCCAGTGGGAAGGAAATGGCAAAGACGATTAGGAATAAAGGGCACAGGAGAGAGTGGGAGGGGAGCTCGGGCATGGAGGAAAGAGGAAATCAGGTATGATCACCATTCCAGAGGGCACCAGGCCTAACTTAGCAGGCCCTTGCTCTCTGTCCCAATGGAGGTTCCTGGAATTCAGGTGGGTCCAAATAACCGGTATTCAACTACCAAGTGAATGCTTACTCTTTCGGAGGGAGAACCGTGCTTCCTAGGCTCCTTTCCAAAAGGCTGAAAGCATCCCTGGTAGCCAGCACTGACCGTCACAGGCACCACTGCTACCATTATCCAGTGCCTGCCATATCTGAGTGTCATCGCACCTCTAGCCCTTCCTCAACTGCACAGCGGCTACAGGTGTGTGCTCTTAGCGTCATTCACAATGCCCAGGTAAAGGGAGAGATGAGCCCAAGGCCGCACAGGCGGCAGCATGATCTGAGCCCGGGCATGTTGCAAGTGCATGCCTTTGTCCTTTGCCATGCTTCCCGACCACATCTAGTTGGGAGACGGGGAAATCTGCGCTCTTCTCTCTGAAGGGCGGCTGGCTCTTGCCCAACAGTTTGAGTGGAGGCAGACCTGAGGGATGTGCATTAGATGGCTGAGACCCACACTTGTAGGGAACTAACGGCGGGGGTAGGAGGCTCAGAGCCCCGTGAAAGCGAGAGGCATGGAAAGAAAGGCATGGGACCCTGTGGGTGAATGAGCAGGATCTTTCCAGGATCCAGGCCTTATCTAAGCACTGGGGGATGGAGGGGGGTTTTATGGGACCCCAAAATAACCTACTTCATCTGAATCTGGAAGGTTTTGGATTTCTAGAATTCCTTCCGAAAATGTGTTTAACCTCGATCCTGAGGTTCTCGGCCAGCTTGTGCTTAGAGGAGTCCAATACCAGGAGCTCACTGTGCTCTGAGTTGGCCTGGTCTAACTTACAACATGGCTCTATGGTAGATAGGTTCTAGGACTTCAACTCTCCTCCTGGAGTGGTTTCCTCCCACAAGACAGAGTGCTGTGAGGACCCCAAGGATGCGCACCTGCCTTCTGGAGCATTGCCAGTTTTCTGCCAGTGCCAGCACCGTGGAATCCAGGAAGGACAAATGCCCCAAACAGGGGTCTTGGCCAGATGGGACCAGGAGCCAACATACCTGCATAGTTTTGTAGAGGCCTATTCCCTTAAGGCACCTCCTGACAAGATTGAGAACAGCCTCCATGAGCGCCCACACCCTTCCCAGCATGCAGCAGGCCCCATAACCTATCTCTTGTTCCAGGGATTCCTAAACCAACAAGGCAGGCAGGGCTTAGAGAAACATGTCCTTTTTATAGACGATGAAAATAAGGCACACATGGGCGCTTAGGCCAAGGAGCACACAGAAAATTTTAGCTTCTGAGAGAACCAGAAGTGGGGTACTTTAATGCATAAGCATGTATGGCCCCCATTAAACTGTGATAGCGAACAGAGGACCCTTGTCGGTATTCTCGGAAAGGCTCACACTGCACCCACTGCTACGCTTGGTTCGCTCATCTTGGAAATGGGGAAGTGTGTGCGCAGATCCCATGAGCGTGGTGTAAGGGAACAAGCTGGCCTAGGGCAGCAGCAATGCTGAGTTTAGTGACCCCAAGATGATGTGTAGGGCAGACTCTGTTGCTTCTATGTCTGAATCATCCCGAGGACACCACCAAGCCACGGCTGGGGAGATTCTGCATGAAGAGATCAGCTTAGCCTGTGTGTGTGTGTGTGTGGGGGGACTCAAGAGCTCCCACCCCTAACTGAAGAGCTTTGACAGATGCTGGCTGTGGGAGGCAGATAGCTCTTCTTCAGGGTGCCGCTCCTGGTAGGTTAACCATGCTCTAGTGGATAGCCCCACACCCATGCGTTTATGGGCAACACACATTGGACTTGGTGAATGATTTTTAAAAAGTGGGGGGACACAAAGTTGGGAGGGAATGGGCTCTAGAAAGAGTTAGAAGAGGAATGGAGGGGATATGCTAAAAATGTATGATCACTCATGTATGACAGTCTCAAATAATCAAACCACTATAGTAAAGTTAAAAAATGGAAAGATTGCCCCTGGGAAACAGAGGAGATAGTGACGCTGTCATTAATGGAGGTGGGACAGCCTCAACATTCTGCCTGGAAACACGTGACACTGGAGCACAGTCGTGTCTGCCACTTATAAGATATCTTTTTTTTTTAATTGATTCTAGTCACATTTTCTATTGGTATTGTGATCCCCATTTGATAGGACTTGAGAGCCACTCAGCTAGAAAACAGTGAAGTACCACTGCTTTCTTGTCCTCCGTGGCTGCCTCCGTGGTGTGACTTTGAGGACAATTCTGTTACTAGGATCTGCAAGGCAAGTGCTTCCCCCAAGGGCTGCTCAGCTCAGCAAATCCAGGGTGCAGGATCATGTTTCCCTCTGTCAAAACCCCTAGGCAGGTGGCCCAGCCAGCAGGTTTCCTTTACACACACATCCCCCACCCTTATATTCCCCCCTCCCGCTTATACCCCCCCTCCTCGGTCTCCAGCCCCTAGCTCCTCCATGCCTGGAGCATGAAGGCCACCTGGTGGGATTAGCGACTGTAGTGGAGGGGATGGGTGCCCTGGAGGCAGGTGGACTACAGGCTTCCTCTGTAGACCCAGGGATGACTTTGGACAGTGACGAATGTGTCCTTCGAGCAGGTCTTTACTCTCCATGGTCTTCAGGAACTTAAGTAGGTAGTGGACTAGGTGGGAAGGAGGATGGGGAATCCTGGCTCAAGCCATCTGTCCTGGGTATGCCTCACCCTGTCTCTGGGAGATTCCCCAAGCAGGGTGGCTACACCTCTTAGCTCCAGGATGCCCCTGAGCCTCTGATGCTCCAGAGGCTGGGGCCAGACATGTGGGTTGGGAGACTGGGCAGGGTTACTTCAACTTCTATTCTGTGCCCCACCTGTTGCAAGCACCCTGGGCAGAGTGCCCACACTGGGTGAAGCCAGCCACACCTGCTCTGCCACCTTGCCAGGACATGCCTAGAGTCAGCAGCCCCCAGCTCAGCTAGGCTCATACATTCCCTGAGGGGTTCTCTGCAGTGGGCTCGGAGGTTTCTTCCACTGCAAAGACAAAGTCATGCACATTTCCTTACGAGCCTTCCCTTCATTTACTACTATGCACGCCTTTCCCCCTTGCATGCTCAGGGCTATAGTAGAGGCAAGCCTTGGGAACCAGGTGCTACTGGGCTTCCATCCCAACCATAAGCAGGTCTCATGTGAAGTCCTTGGGTTTACCTTCCAGGACAGGCACTCAAACCTTGTTTCATGTTCTCTGTTAACACCAGTTATAGATTGTTGAGAATCACACAAGAGAGCCTTGGCATAGTCACAATTCCTATGGATTTTCCTGGGACCTCTTTGGATGGAGGATTATTTTCTGATAACACCTGTAAGTTCCATTAATGACAGCGTCACTATCTCCTCTGTTTCCCAGGGGCAATCTTTCCATTTTTTAACTTTACTATAGTGGTTTGATTATTTGAGACTGTCATACATGAGTGATCATACATTTTTAGCATATCCCCTCCATTCCTCTTCTAACTCTTTCTAGAGCCCATTCCCTCCCAACTTTGTGTCCCCCCCCCCCTTTTTAAAAATCATTCACCAAGTCCAATGTGTGTTGCCCATAAATCCTTGCACTTGGGAGGTGGAGGGGAGAGGATCTCAGGTTCTAGGCCGGTTTGCATTGCACTGGGCATTCAAGCATGTATGCAGTCCTGCCTCAAGAAGAGAAAAGGAGGTAGCGACGGAGATAGAAATGAGGGTGACTGAGGAGAAATAGACGCATGTAAGGTCACAGAACTAATGAACGCTAACAGAGATCACAGACCTCTGGGCTCTGTCCACTGTGTCGCCGTACCTCCCGTCAATCCATACTCCACCATCACCACCTCCTGCTCCGCCTCCCCACTGCCTTACCTTGCGCCTTGTGTATCAAGTGGTGCCCCTTCAAACTGAGCTTTTATTATTATTATTATTATTATTATTATTATTATTATTATGCCTTTACTGATTACAGGGTAGGGTAGGGTGGAGGGGGCACTTGTTTTCGTTTTCTTTGAGAGAAAGTACACGCTGATTTCTTTATGTCCGGAATAAAGAACTCGCTACTTGTTCTTATTACAGGTGACTTCCTGAGCCAGAAAACTCTCTGGGAGGCTTTTTAAGCCTTATTAAGTTACAGGAAATGCAGATAATGAAATAAATCACCCACATCTATGAATATTCCCAGCTCGTCCTGGCTGTGTGGCAACTCACCCATCCCAGGATACTTTCCTGTCTGTTCTAGCAGGCTGTGCAGCTGTCCAGCTGGCTGGACCTAGGAGCACCACTCCCCTCTGCCACCTC